AAGAATTAGATTTCTTCAAAAGGAACAAAGCTTATGTTTGTAACCTTGATGATAAGACTTTGGAAGTAGTCTCACTGTCTGTAATGCAGAATTTTTGGAAACATGGGTTTAGATATTTATAATTTTTTGGCAAAGGAGAGAGAAATGGGACTCTGAGGACCATTGAAGTCACTCTGGGTCATTTGTCATTCCTATAAAATCAATAAATACATGAATGAAGAAGAGCATGGATGTACTAGGGTATAATTTTAGAGATACTTAATGTATTGAATTCTTTGTAGTGTTCACATCGCAGTAGAAGAGAAAATCAGTCTTACAGCTGGTAGAGATGGTGGCCTACAAAACATGGAAGTTCATGGCTTAGTCAAAGTGAAGGTCAATGATGAAACGTACGGAAAAATCAAGGTCAATGTTCTCAACAATGACAAGAAGGGCATTCAGTTACAGGTGAGTCGGAATATAGACATGACTAGGAGCCCTCTGTTTATTCATTGAAGCAGTCTCATCTGACTTCCAAAGGAATTAAGAAAGATTTAATCACAAATTCATGGCATTATTATATTATTTAACAGACACATCCCAATGTTGACAAGAAACTGTTCAACTCTTCATCTTGTATTGCTCTGAAAAACCAAGAGAAGTCATTCCCCCTGAACACAGATGTCGGAGTCCTGAAGTGGAGGTTTCAAACCCAGGATGAAGACATGATGCCCCTCCAGAGTAAGGCATTATCTGTACACTGTAGTAGTGTATAAAAATGTGAACCAAGGATCTCTAATTGACACTGAAAACAGGCACAAATATATTTCGAATGAGTGTATAATGTGCATGCTGGAATTATAAATTTATATTTTCTTAATAGTTTTTAAAGCATTTTTTCTTGAAATACATTAATCCTAACATATAAAAAACTTGAATAATTTTACCTTTTCCTGATCATTTGGAATTGAAATACAGTATTACCAAATGAGTTTTTGGAGATTGACAATTACTTCTTTGACTGTAAGAGGACTAATTCAATGTCTCTTATAAATATCACTCTGTATTGTAGTTAACTGTTGGCCTAATGACACGGGAAGTGGGTGTGATGTTAACATTGAGTATGAACTGAAGCAGACAGACCTAGAGCTCAATGATGTCACCATTCTAATTCCTGTACCGTAAGTCAATTCTAATTACTGTAACATAAGTCAATTCTAATTCCTGTACCTTAAGTCAATTCTAAGTCCTGTACCGTAAGTCAATTCTAATTCTTGTACCGTAAGTCAATTCTAATTCTTATACCGTAAGTCAGTTCTACTGAGAAAACCTTGACAGTACAATATTCAGTTCAAATTGTTTAGGACTGTTAATGAAACGAATAAAATAAACTTATAGTTTTAAGCTCGACATTGCAGAAAGATCGAAGGAGCTAAAAAGTGTAAATGTCATCCTAGGCTATTGTTAAAGATGTAGGATTTGGGTTTTTTAAATTGATGTTAATGCATTAAATTTTGCAGTTCAAAGACTATCCTTCTGGAAATATGTAAAAACAAAATTCCTCAGTCAGAAAATACTGGACTTAATCCTTGTGTTGTAGATCTGGTGTTGGGGCCCCTGTGGTAGGGGAGTGTGATGGGGAGTATAATTTTGACAGCAGGAAGGCCGTACTCCAGTGGACGTTACCAGTCATTGACGCCAGTAACGAGTCGGGGAGCATGGAGTTCAGTATCGCCGGACACCCCGACGACTTCTTCCCAGTCACTGTTAACTTTATATCCAAAAAGTCATACTGTGATTTACAGGTAACTTGTTGACTACATCATTTAGTCTCATCTTTTATGCACATTCCAGTGGCAGATCCAGAAATTTTGAAAAGGGGAGGCTCAACCAGTTTAAGGTCAGGGTAGGGGCCCACAGCCACACCAAAGAAACATTGATATATCAAATATTGTGGTGTTTTGTTTTTTTTTTGGACTCAAAGGAGGGAGGGGGGCAAGCCCCTTAGGCCCCCCTCTAAATCCGCAAGTGCATTTATCACCATAGATATTTTTTTAACAGAAGCACCTACGCATTTATTATAAGTATTAATGTATGTAAATATGATTTATGTTAAACTTGTAAATAAACGGGACTGTTTAACTTTTCAGATTACAGAAGTTCAAAATTGCAGTGATGACAGTCCTGTGAAGTTTTCCTCAGAGGTGGTTTTTTATGTGGACAGATATGAGATAGTGTAATATTATCTCCACTCTATTTATTGTGACTGTATTCTGTTTTGGACCACATGAAACTAAATAGGTTTTTTGGAGGGGAAGGGGTACAGAGTAAGGGTTCTAGGCCCTTTAATGACATAAGTACCCCCCTGCAATGAATGTTTTATTTAAAACATCCTGAAGGTTTGAAGAGAAATATCTAGTGAAACTAGTAATACTGGTACTGTCAAAAAGGAGCTGTGATACTAACAGGTTTCCTGGAAAGTTTCATTGGGAACTTTTAGTCATTTTAAAATTTTGAAAGGTAAATCATATTTCTTATTATGGTAATAAAGTGCTGATCTTATAATTACAACATAAATGCTACTCATGCTATTCTTTTCATAATTATTGGGTTGGGATATTCTTCACTGATGAACATTCTGAGTCCAGGAATATCCACCAAAAATACAAACAATTTGTCTTTTGTTGTCAATAGGAACTGTATATTGATTGTTGAAGCAGACTTTTACTTCTATGTGTCAAAGATTACACATGTACATAACAAGAATAAATATTTATAAAATATGAAAAAGTCTTTGGTCATTGTCTATATCAGATACAAGGGAGATGATCAGTACATGCATCATGAGAACAAGTATTAGTTTATATGCCAGTTAGACATCTCTTTTGTGGTTGTTTGATATAGGCTGCTGTTGAGAGTAACATTTTATGGCTCAATTTATAATGTATATCTTTGCCAACATTTTTTAATATTCCAGATACTGAAAAAAAAACATGAATCCCAGCTGACAAATACAATTCAAGTCTTTTTAAAAATAGTATTGGTTTGAACAAATGATAAATGTAGTGAATGAACCTCCATGTCATTTTCAATATAAGTGATTTATTACATGTAATACATTAAAAAAGAAAGGAGATGTGTGTACTTAGCACGCAAAAAACCTGTAAGCTTCAGATATATAAAAATCATATTCAAATTGTGATTTTGGTATTTAGAGTAAAGTTCTCATCATTGATTTTTGTAAAATCATGGTAAACAAAAAAGTTTGGTGGAAAATTTTTCGTTAAAATTTATTCTTTTATTAAGAAAAATATTGTGGTATCCATTGCGTTCGAACCCTGGCAATAAAAATCCTGAGTTGTATTCTCTTTTGAGACTAGCACGCTAACCGCTACGCTACACAAGTCCTGATGAAGTGCGGCATTTAAATCTTGTTTGTGATATGACCATTGACTTAAGGGACTTAAGTATTTCTCGAAAAGATACGAAAGTTATGTCATAAACTTATATTTTTTAGGTATAGTGGGTCATTGCTCCATAATTTTGGAAACCAAAATATGTATGTTTTTATGTAAACTTTGAGGATTACCTTTCAAAAAAATGGAGAGAAGACCCACTCATAGCGAAAAATAGTGTTATAGTGTGAAAAAATGACTCGTTTTGTCCTCTTTCGTGTGTCTATAATATTTCATAGGGAAATAACTTCAACTTTCATGAGATTTGTGCAAGTTGTAGAGATTTTACATAAAGTATACTTTAATGTTAGATGAAATATTAAGGAAAATTTTGATAAAATTGAGATTAATTTTTCACCTTTATGTTTATTACACTATGGGCTTATCTCTCGTCATGTTCATCCATCTCCTTAAGTTTCTTAATATGCAATGTATAATTTATGAGAAATATATACATGCTGAAAAACAAAATTAGGTTTTGCATTTTGAGTCTATATGCAGTAGCAAACAAAATTTTATTTGGACCTAACTGATGCATTAAAACATTTAAAAGTTTTTTCAACAACCCTTTAAAAGTCTTACTTGAAGTCTCTTGCAGCAAGAAGAAACACCAGAAAACAAATTTTTAGCTCTACTGGTCGAAGATCAAAAGAGCTTTAATATGTGATAAGCAAGGTCATCCGTCCTTGTACATTTTTTCAAAATGCTACTCCTACAGATTTGGTCTGACGACTAGTAACTTGGCACACATGTAGACTACATATTAGTTTTTGATTTCGAGAATGTTCTTGCCATGGTTACTAAAAATTAATAGAAAACTTTTAATTATTTTCAAAATGCTACTTCTCCTGCAGTTTTGGTCTGATTTCTATATAATTTGACACAGAAGTAGACTACACAAAGACACATAAATCTGTGTATCTTTTTTCTATGAACAGTGTTAAATTGCCATGGTTACTAAAAATATAGATTTTTTGAAACATTTTCGAAATACTACTCCTCCTAATGTTTTTGTCTGATTTCAGTATAATAAGGCGCAAAAGTAGATTTCACAAGATACGTAATTCTATATAGCGGTTTTTGTTGATTTTGATGAATGATATTTTCAAAATGCTACTCCTCCAAATGTTTTGGTCTGATTTCAATAAATCTTACCAAGAAAATGACTAAACCAATGATCAAATTTTAATTTATTGCTGTTGCAAAGTTTCAAGTTCAAATGCTTTTTTCCTTCCTTCGTGTTGCAAAGTTTCAAGTTTAAATGCTTTTTTTCTTCCTTCGTTTTAATAAGTTTAAACCGGTAGAGCTACAGCCTCGTCTCGTCAGAGACTTTTGGTTTTTCCCCCCAGTATTACCTTTTTTTTCCCTCTTTAAAATTCGTAGTGTGAGTCTGACAACAGCAAAAAAAAAAATTACTTCAGATTGGTCTCATTATAAGATTTAAGAGAAAAATGCATCATTGTTAACTGAAATCCCCATCCGTCACAAAATATTTGATATTCATATCACTTGTGTAAATTTTTCACCAAAAGCTGGATTAATGCCATAAATTAATGAAAGAAAATATTTTGAAAGAGACAGACTTCAAACGTTATTGTTACATTAATTAATTTTAAAATAAGCATATGTGTTTTGTTGAACCCTCACACGAGAGATTAAAAAACAAAGTTTATGTATCTGGGAGTCGGGCCCTTTTAGGCATGCGACGCTTCTTCACATCCCTGAATGGAGATGATGACCTTTTATTGGAAGCTTCAGACAGTTCCTGACCATTTGTCACGTGATTAAGTACTGCATCACTGGATGGTGCGTGTAAGGATTTCCTCATTGGAGCATCCTCCGACTTGTCAGAATCTTCATACATTTTTTGGAAATCTTCGTATGAGAACACGTTTGGACCAATGCTTGGTAGAATATCATACATTTTTCCGAGTGATGGCCTTTTAGCCGCCTTTATTGGTCTCGACTTCCGATCCCCTGGAATCTCCGGCAGAACATCGTACATCTTGCCAGTTAGAAACTTTGGCTCGCCTTTGGCTTCGTTCTTACTTTCTCGTTTTCCTGGTTTTTCTGGCATTGTGAGAAATTCTGAAGCAAAATTCATTTATGAATATCCATCAGTATTATTTTTAAGATCTTAAATTGTACACAGACCACATGAAAACTTCCTCAGATTCATACAATTTATCAGAAACAAGGTTTTCTGTCTCAGAATTTATAGTTACCTAACAGTTGTAGAGTTTGCATGACAATGGAATAAGGTGGTTACATTTACACTTGAAATTACCTTTTTTTCGTTGGATAATTTGTTTTACTTATGGACATATGGGATCTCTCTAGTCTAAATTTAACCTTTGTAGTCTTAACGAAGTTATAAATACTCACTTTATTCTCTTCCTCGAATGGGTTACTACGTCACGTGACCGTTGATTGTTACGCAGCGAAATCGTCATTTCATTGTTTACGTCATAATATCATGGATATGTGTACGGACAACGTCATAATATAGATTAGCTTAAAAAAACTATGCAGAAACACAAGAAGTTTGCCCCCCCCCCCCCTCCTGAAGAAATAGGATTTTTGAGTTTGAATATATGCCCTATTTCTTATTTTTTAATAGCTTGTCATCAACGATTTTTTTAAAAACGATGACAGATGCCTGGAATCACTGGCATCTGAAGAGTGGATAGAAGTCCCCTAGTAATTTAATAGACAGATAGTAGGAACTTATAATTTTTCCGATGTATTATATTTCCCAGGCCTCGATCACATCCATATGTCGTTCTATGCAAGTATACCCACTTATATTTTAAATAAATACATGAAAAAGGGTCCTATTTTCACTGATGAGATAACATTTTTAATAACTGATTTTCAAGACGAATTAGCCAAGGTCAAATGGTCTTTCATTGAAAATCTAAATTCGGGATTGCTTTACAATTCGTACGTGGAGGCCAAATACTGTATACAGGGAAATTTTCGCCTCCGTTTTATTTTCGCCCTTTTCATCCTCTTCTTAATTGGGCGAATTTCATCCATGTATTTCTCTTTTCTCTTTTCTATTTCAACTCTTAAGAACAATATTGCAGTAGAACATTGACAAACAGGAGATCGATCAAGGTATGGAATGACATAAGAATTTAAAGAGTTATTGGACTTTTCTCATGAACTCTTGCTTCTACGAGTCTAACCTCCTTCTGCTTTTAATTCACTTACCATTGGCGTCGGAAGCAAATTGAAAGTGGGGGGGCTTAGTGTAAAAAAAAATTTTTGTACCTTCACAGAAAACCTGACAAGCAAAAAAAAAAAAAAAAAAAAAGGGAAAATTTCCATTTCCCAAATCACGAAAATCCTATTTCGTGGGGGGGGGGGGGGGGGGGGGAGGGGGGTAGTGGTAGGTTCGAGCTTCAGTACCAAAAAATTTTTGGTCCAAACACCACCACTTTCCCAATTTTTAACCCATACTAAGACGTATCTGTGGAAAGTGGGGGGCTAAACCTACGAAGATACGTTCAATGTCTAAACTAAGTATATATTTGGAAAAAAAGTGGGGGGGGCTAAGCCCCCCCTAGCCCCCCCGGTTCCGACGCCTATGCTTACAAATGACTCTCTTATAATGGAATCGTGTCCTGTATCCGTCTATATCTGTCTTTCATGTAAAGTTCAATCTCAAAAATATTAGTTTTCTCTCTTAAAAATCAAACTTCCATAACGGATTGTTATTGCGTTAAAGGTATAAATTTTATTAATTATTTTTGGAGATAAATACTGTGCATTTTTGATTAATTAAATTATTTTAATAAATGTAAATTTTATCTATTGCCGAGAATTTTAATTCATAACTGGAAATTAACTTTCGTAACTATAGTTTTCCCTAAATTTTATCTTAATATCGGATTAATGCGAAACTTCGTAGAATGATTGATAAAGATTGCAATTTTTGAAGTGTTTAAAAAGACCCAAAATATACACAAATTAATACGAGATTAAAAAAATAATAAAGAGTCGGGGGGGGGGGTGTCACATGTCAAGGTCAGACTCTTTTCTTTTTTTCCTAGTGAAAGACGAATTATTTATTGACATAATCCACCTCACAATCGAAAAGGGGTACTTTGAAGATTGTACATAAATTTATTACAAAAAGGGGTTAGGGACACAGATGCGGAGGGGGGTTTTATATTGAATTTTTTTTTGCTTGTCCTTTTTTTAATTTCAGTTTTCATGATTATTTGATTTCATGCTTGTTCAATGATGAAGTGTACCTCAGCGGGTGCATATAGGGTCTTGTAAGTTAATTAGTTCCTATATTTTTAAGTGTCCGACTCAATATCAAATGTGTCCGACTTGCGATCGAATTTCGATGTTGGTGGTTTATCACATCTGAATGCATTATAAGGTAAAATACCGAGGTAATCCAAGCAAAAAATATTAGATCTTTGCGAGTTCTTTCGGACAGTATCCAATAGCAGAGGGTATAATACAACCGAATGTGACCTGCATACAAGAAGGAATACAAATTAAAGGTGTCCAACTCACGATCACTTCACCCTAAAACTTTCCCAGAATCACTGTACGCGCCAATTTAAACCAAACTTGACCGTGACATAAGGCATTCTTCGTGAAAGGAGATTCAAGAGGAGATTTTTCAGTTCCATCTTTATGGAGAAATTATTTAGACATAGAGAAAATATGGTGGCTTTATTTCAAATGAGAAAAAGATGAAATATATGAAGCTTTCTGACGAAATTATACATCTTAATTTTTTTTCATCAGCATCAGCCATTTCAAGTCATATAAGTGACCTATACACTCCGGCATGAAGTTCTACCTTACTTGGATCTGCACTATTATCAAAGCTTAAACACTTAAGATATGTATAGGTATATGCAAGAAATCTAAAAGCAGTGTGGTGAGCAGAATGTTTTCTTGTTAATATTTTCAATACAAAAAAGTTACAATCCTAATCTACCATTTAGATTCTTCTATAAGAACACCACAATATAGTTGAATTAAAAAAAAAGGGGGGGGGGGGTTCAAGCAATTATCCAGACAGTGCAAACCGGAATATCGCCTTCATTTGTGGTTTCCGGTTTTAAACATTACTTTTCCAATTTTTTCAAGATGGAGGAAAGGATTGGAAATTGACAGATTATTTCGGACAAAGAAGACGTAAATGCAACTGAAATAGGTCGACCAATATAGGTATTTGTACTTTGATCATCTGAGTAATGTTATTTCATTTTGTTTAAAATGTTTGGAGGTTTTAAAGTCCATTTCTTTAAGTAAAAAAATGAAGTTTAATACGCATGCGAATTTTCTCGGATAATTTCACACCGATCAACCACTGCAAGGTAGTTTAATTGAAGTATTTCTTAATGTTTATGTTCTTTGAATTGGTTTTTCGGTTTTGTTCCTTAATTTGTAAAAAAAAATTAATGAAATACTTCCAACAGAAAGAATGCAAATATGGCATGAAGAGCTACACCCATCTGATCTTGAAGTTGATGGGATGGGCTAATCAAATCATATTCAGTTAAGTTGCCAATACGGGCCATCTCCAGTTCCGGAACATTAGTGTTATTTTATGTTATAGTATTAAAATTATCCACAATAAGGCAATATGTATAATGGGCATATTCATGAAGAATTGGTCTTTCTGTAAGTAACATGATTTTGTAAATTAACATTAACAGGTTGGGACCACTCGATCAAGATACTTATAAAGGAATAACTTTTGGTTTACAAGTTTTTCTGTATGTCCATTGATTAAGAGATTGATCCTTAGAAAATTCTCTAACTACTTGGGGATCGATCTAGATAACAAACTTTAGGGTTGCAGAAAAACTTGCTTGCGAAAAGCTATTCCTTTTTTTTTCTTACATGAATTTACAAAGCATTTGCAATGAAATTTTATACCACATCTCCCCTTGGCCAAAAAAGATCCTAAATGATTTTGATGTCAAAAAGACCAAAGGTCAAGGCTATAACCACACTGATAACTTTATACATTATTTTTGTGTGGAAAAGTTTTATTTCTGAGTGAGCAATATATGAGGAAGCTTTTGCAATTAAATTATATACAGTTACTCCCTGTGGCCCTAACAACAGCCCCTCTTAAAATGTTCTGTCCACCACCCTCAGTCCTCCGAACCCCCCCCCTTCCAATCCACACATGCTCTTCTTGTTTCCTTAAGTGGGGAAACAAATTCCTCTGAATTAGCGTGTTTACTTAGAGTTATAATAGTATTCTTTAAGAAAGTACCCCGGTATATGAAATAAAAACTAAAAAAACTTAAATGAATTCAGATTATTTAGAAGTAGGGGTGGGCTTTGTAAATGTATGGTCAGATATATATAATTGTTTCTATTTCTGAGCCGTGGGGAATTAATTATAGCCCAACAGAGTTCATATAGAAAGGAAATGTAATCTTTAAGATGCTGACTGATAAAATCTAAATGTGTTTCAGTACTTGAATTCCCAGCATGTACATGCTTACTTTGTACTGATGTGACAGTCTCATTCTTGGCTTTTGATTAATGTTAAAATGGAATCTCAATGTAGAAGAAGGGATAGATTCTGAACAAACTCTAGTGTGCAAAAGATGAAGGCAAAAGCAAAATGTGTTGTGCCATTTATACTGAAAAGCAGGGTATAATGTATATGTGGACAAAATCATCACAGACTGAGACAAGAAGTCTGTGCACATTTTATAATATTAAAAGAAGAATAATAATTGTATCACTGAATACTTTTGTTGTTTTTTTATGAATCCATTGCTATAAATCAATCATTTAAAAATAATCAATTTCTATACTAGTTAGATAAAGTTTTCTTTGGGTGTCAACATATTTGATCTCAGAGTTTGACCTAATGACCATCCTCTGCAAAATTTTACCAAACTTTAACGTTGACCATAACCTTGAACTTTTGAATTTTATCTACATTTGCAGTGTGTGTTTTTCCTAAAGAATAGTCACTGGCCAAATTGACTGCATCATTTGTCAAAATGAAAAAAAAAACTTGAATTGTAACAGTTCGGTCCACAGATATTTTGTTCATAAAACCGCAGCCCCTATTCTGTTACAACTAATTTCTAACCCTTTGCTTTGAAAAAAGGGAAAACTTTGATCTGGGAAAAAAATGAAACCTTGACATAAACATGTACATTTTTGGAAGGTTTGGTGTTGTTAGTTTTATATTTCAATTAAATATTTCCTGTAACAAGACCTTTCCTTTACCTCTTGACCTTTGAGTATTACAGACTTTTTGTAACAGCTTTAACTTTGACCATATTTTCTGAATGGTTGGTGTTATGCTTGCATTTTATGTGCATTGTAAATAGACCTCTCTTTGGTTACCTGTGTTTTTAACTCTTGACCTTGAATTTTGACCTAAATTTGAAAAAAAAACCCACCTGAAACATGACTTTGAGCTGCCACA